ACAGATACGCGGTGTAACTCGGCAAGATATATTGCCAATGTGTTTCTGTCGGTTTTTAATGTATCGAACACTGCAAATGTTATGCCGAGTGCTCCAAGGACATTTTATCAAGTGATAACGATTAACAACTCCTTGGTGTTATCAATATAGTATTTAGAACATTTGAAATTTCGTAAAATAACGTCAACACTGTGAATTTAAGTTTCTACACTGTAACAAAAATTTCCGTGAAAAAACGTAAAAAATTCCGGAAACAAAAATTACCAGGAAAATTTTATCCGTATTTGTTTTTCCTGTAATTTACAGAAATTCCCTCAATTAACAGAAATTCCATTTTCAAATACAGAAAAAAAAATCCTGGTAAATTTTGTTTCCTGACGATGATGAAGGTGATAAAAATTTCATTGAATTAACCATTGACTTTATATGCGTGCGTGAAATAGCTTTATTTAACGTCCGCTTCCACCGAAGTGATACCGCAGATAATCTTTAAACGTAACCTCTTTTCGCTGATATAAGAATCGAGAGCAAGGTATCACACACCGCTACTCGTCAGTGGTTGGAGGCTTTTACATGCAAGTGTGCGGTATTATCAATTCGCAGGTATGTAGACTCTGCCATAGAGACAAACCGACTTACACTGGCCAACCTGTTGTACTATCCGGATTTAAGCCTACTTGATTACCAGATATTACAACCTTATTTCACGCAGCATTAAAACATATTTTTATATATTTATGAAAATACTTACAATCTGATTTCCGTATGATGAATTACAATACACTTTATAGATCTTATAAATAATGGAAATTAGATATACATGACAATTAATATACCAAACTTTACAAAATATGATTCTTCATATTATGGTTAATAAATTGAAATGAATACTATAACATGACGATTATTAGGAATGATTATATATGTATACGATTACTTATCGTTGCACCGTTTATCCCGTAAAATAACAGACTTAAGTCGATTACAGAACGGAATAAAACATTTTATCCCTAAATTTCAAGGAACTTCCTTGTCATTCCACCGTTTATTCCGTAAAATAACAGAATTAAGTCCATTATAGAAGGGAATAAAACATTTTATCCCTAAATTTCACGGAAATTTCCTGTTTAATACTGAATATTCCACAGAAATACATAAAACACGTAATTTGAAGAAATAATCCACACTATTAACACAATTTATCAAAAAAATCCATCGATTAACAGAAAAAAGGTGTTAAAACACGGAATTCGGCCACATTAAAAATGGATATTTTTTACAGTGTATAGGTAGAATCTTTGTATGGCCAGGAATAAACCATATTTGATCAATATAACAAATATATTAATCCGTTGCAATGGATTATTTTAATTGAAAGTCAGTGTTTTTTTTTTAATAAAAATACCGAAGTTTTATTAACAATTTACACTTTAAATGATTATACTGGTGATCTTATGACAAAATGATAGCGATGACGTCGCTATTACGCCACAATTACGTCATATCTGCAAATTTGCAGGTATTGGCCAACAATAGTAAATTATTTTCAGAAGCTATCCAAAAGCTATCCCTACCCCCATCAAATATATCGTCTTTAAAGAAACCCGGACCACGGGTAAAAGTGCAAAAAAAAAAAATATATATTTTGGACCATGTTGAAAATTTACCCAAGAACCAGTTTTGAGTTCTAGGGATGTGTCTCTATCAGAAAATGTCCAACGTGCTTCGTTCTACCTCTGGTAGGGGTATCTCGTTATTTAAGCCCATTTTGGCGCCTTGGCCGCTAGACTAATAGACAGGGGGGGGGGGCTGAGTAATGTGAGCCCAGTAAGATATTTTAAAGTGTGTATGACTCTATTCTTTGGAACCTTATCATAATGTCTGTCATTAAGTCAGCTGGCGTGGTTTCGATTCCCCGGTTGTACGTGACAAGGAGTAGGGTCGCCTATCCAACCTCGTGGGCTTTCTCCGGATCCTCTGGTTTCCTCCCACTACTAAAGACCACAGCGCGCAAGCGAATTATTGAAATAAAATTGAACCATATGTTAGTCCCGAAAAGACCTAGTTTGTGTCGAGTGAACATTAAACCCAATCTCTCTCCGAGTGAACGCTATTAATTTATATTCGAGTGAACGCTATTAAATTCGACTTTAGTCATAGTAACCACGCGCCTTCTAGTTATATCCCTGCTTCCGGTTTATTGCACCCATACACTCAGACTAGGGCCCGCCGACACTTGTAAACAACCAGTTACTTCCCTTGTGTTATGAGTCGAGTTACAACTGTCGCTGTGCTATTTATTTATATTTATGGATATATTTGAAATGTTCGAATTAAATTGTAGACTATAAAATAAAACAAGTGGATACGTATCTGGATAGATCGGGTGCATTATTAGCAAATCTAGATTGAGTGCAGTGGAGAAAAAAGTTGAGCAACCGAGTCAAGGCACGTGGTTATTATGACTAAAGTCGAATTTAATAGCGTTCACTCGGATATAAATTTAACAGCGTTCACTCCAATATAAATTTTAAAAAAGGGCAGCAATTTGCAGGTTTTTTTATATGGGGGACAATAGAATACCGAACTTATCAGGTAAGGGAACCAATGGCTTTTTAATTGTTTTTCTTTGCTAACACCGAATATGATTGAAGTCGAAAATGAATTCTATTTTAGTACATAATTAAAACTTGCCAAATTCCATCTTACTCTGGACTATCGACGAAAATGTTCTGGGACGAGAAAAATCGTCAAGATATTTTAATGAAATTTCATCGGAGCACACCCCTGGGGTAACATTAATATACAGTCTCTAATGTCAGTTTGCCGTAGATCTGCGGTAACTCGACGAGGTCACTGCCAAAAGACAGAAACTGATAAACTAGACTGCTGGTGCCTATGGTCCATATATTAATTCATATCGATGACTGATGTCATGCAGGGGATCACGTGGGTAAGACGTTGGCTCGCTAGCCTGGAGGTCGGGTGTTCGATCCCTGCATTGGCCGAGAAAGTTCATTCAGATTTTCCAACGTGGTTTTCCCTTGTCAGTGATGCAGGATGGAGGGCCTGACAAGGACAGCTGTCTAGTCGTTCGGATGGGACGAAAAACCGAGGTCCCGTGTACACATTTGCGTGCACGTAAAAGATCCCTTGGCAGTTGGAATTCGATATAAGAGTAGGCCGTAGCGCCGCTGCCCAGGCAAAATTTTCCCCATAGCACACTGTATGGCGTATGCCCATCTTCATTAGCCCAGGTTAGGAGAAGAACTGTAGGACGTTAAACCCCATTTCATTTCATTTCTGATGTCATGCAACTGAAGCATAACTTTTGCCCAAGTTGAAACTTTCACAGAGCACGTCTTTATTTCTCAAAGCACGTTTTTCGCTCATTAGAGCAAGGACGCGGTCAATGGCACGCTAGAATAGGCTCTGAACTGAGTTCAACCGACTGTTCTAGAGACAGTGTAGTAGGACGACGATAATGATAATTAATGAGCTAATTAAAAGTTTACTCAGTATAACATTCAGAACCACCGGAACGTTCGAGGGAGTCTCTCAGCTGGAGAGGGACAGGTCCACTGGAACGCTCGAAGGAGTCCCTTAGCTGGGGAGGGACAGATTAGATGGGTGTAAGCAGTGTTCGTTGTTCTCACCGAGAAATGTTTTGCAATTCTGTTGGAGAAATGATGACATCCGGCGGCTTCTGGCTCTGTAACCACTTAAACCCCATCCAGCCAAAATACGGCTCGGATCACTATAAACAACAACTGATTCGGTTCTCGAATCCGAGTTCCATCTAAAATAGTAACTCGTTTGAACCATCCATAAGCTCAATGACATTTCATTTCTTAAACCATACAACAGAAAGCTTTTATTGTCCTGTCATTTCTCCATAATGGGTATGATCATATCATAGCCGGATTTCCTCAACACAGACGGAACCCCGGAGATTAAGATTCAAGTATTTTATTTGTGAATGTTGGATTTAGGTATAAGTTCTCTAGATGATATATTTAGATAGGGTTCAATTAATACACTGTATTTATCGTTATAGTAAACGTACTATGGTAAGGAGAAATAATGTACTACATACCAGGGAGGAGGGGGGGGGGGGTACAATGTACTGTATACCGGGGTGGGTTCAGGGGATATAAGAACGACTCTACTAGGGGTGGTCGGTGGCTGAAGGATACGGTGTATTGTATGCAATGGGCGGTCGGTGGGTGAATGATACCCTGTACTGTATGCAATGGGCGGTCGGTGGGTGAATGATACGCTGTACTGTATGCAAAGGGGGGGGGGGGCGGTGGGCGAAGAATACACTGTACTATATGCAAGGAGCGGTCGGTAGGCAAAGGATACACTGTACTGTATATTAGGGGTGGGCGGTGGGTAAAAGAAACGCTTTACTTAATATAAGGGGTGGGTGATGGAAACGCTGGACTGGATACCAAGGGCTCTCAGTGTGTGACAGAATCACTATACTGTAGTACGTGTATACACGGGGTGGTGGGTGGGTGAAGGGATCACTGTACAGTGTACCAGGGGGGGTCGGTCAGTAAAAGGAACATTGTACTGTGTACCAGAGGCAGCAGGTGGGTAAATATTTCATAGAAATGGAAAAAAATGGGGTTTTAACCGGAAATGGAAAAAATGGGGTTTTAACCGCCCACTGTTCTGCTCCAACCGGCGCTACGGAGTATTCTAATATCGAATTCCAACTGCCAAGGGATTTTTACGTGTATGCCGGTGTATCGTCCCATCCTAACGACTATACTTAATATTTCATAGACTCAGAAGACAAAACTGTCTTTCTGGGAGCTAACAATACTTGTAGCAGAGTAGTTTTGGCAACTTTACTTACCAACTATAGAAATAATGTGTAGTTTATTTAAGATTCAAAAAAGATGAAAAGTGGTATGGTATGTTTCAGAACACGTGATCATATATTTCCGTTAGCGACGTCACATCCGCTTACCATCAATAGGTATAATAATCTTTATTTAAAACATTGAAAACATAAAAAGATACAAAATATAAGAACGTGTAGACTTTCAAACGAGAAGGGGTATCAGATGTTAGTGACGTCACTTCCTGTAGCTAAATTCAATAAGATATTATTGGTTAGGGTTCAGTTTCCAGACTTTCACGTGGTTTATTTTCATAGCTGCATCTTCGCCATCTCGTTCAAACGGGTTCCATGTTGGGTACCATAGATCTTTACCCGCCCAGAACTCGGACTGCAAGGCCCGAGTCCAGGGTTTAGGGTAGGAGGATATAAAACTATCAGGGAAATAGTTGAGTCCACCCACAGCTACATTTAATATAATATAAAACTGAAACACAAATAAAGAAATTGTTATGTGAAATACCCACTTGTCACTGACAATGTCTGACTTGTATTAAAATAAAATGAAATGGGGTTTAATGTCTTACTTTTTTGCACCAACCGGGATGTTGAAGGTAAAAGTGGTGAAATATCATCGGCTTGATACTTTAGAAATAAAATGGGGTCTAACGCCCTACTGCACCGCCTGGGCTAATAAAGACCGGTATACACCATGCATGGAAATTTAATCGGACAGCAGCGCTACGACCTACTCTTATATCAAATTCTAACTGTCAAAGGTTCTTTTACGTGCACGCCAATGTGTACACGGGACCTCGGTTTTTCGTCCGGTTCGAACGACTCTTGCCTGTTCCCCCGTCCTACATCACTAAGGGAAAACTACGCGAGAAAATCCAGATGATATTTCTCGGCAAACACCACGACCGAACACGGGACAACCGGGCTAGCGAGCCAACGTCTTACTCACTGAACCATCGAGTATCCCTTTAATAATTTCGTCCTTTTGCCAAACGTCTATTAAAGATACCGGTATAAGTTACTGAAACGTTGCATGAACTATTGGCACTGGATCAGGAAGCTCCTGGTTTCATCCCCGTTTGGCCGAGTGAATACCACGAGATTCTCAAGCATGGGTCTTTTTTGTCAATGGTGTACTTCTATCTTCATTAGCCCGTTTGGCACCATATAGCCCGGTTGGGGCTGACGTGCCATAAAACTCCATTTCATTTCATTTCATTAGCCCGATTGAAGTAGAAAGTAGTACCGTACGTAAAATCTGATTTTATTTCATTTCATACTGTAGTTCTAGAAACTATCATACATTATAGAATAATGATCATGGCTTTGTGAAGGTACCTAGTAAATCTATAAAGTTATTAGACTTTTATTAAGATGTTTTAGTTTATCAAGTGTCCGGACAGACTTGTTTCCGCTTACATAAAGGTACCTGTGCGAATACTGAAACGTTGCATGTAATAAACTAAAAAGTATAAATCCATAAAGTTAGCACTTTTATTAATATGTGTTAATTTGTGATGCGTCCCGGCAGTAATTTCTCAATTCGTTCACCGGTTTGTCGCCCCACCAACCTGAACATCTCGGCTGGTAATGCTACGTTTCCATTATCACAATTCGCGCTACGATTAAAATCGTGGTTTTAATAAAGGGGTAATCCTATTAGGTCTTATCACGTATTGCGATCGTGTTGATCATATCTAAACGAATCCGAACGTATCTACACGTACCAGATCGTGGACTCATTACGGACAATCCTATCGTAACACAGCGCACGACATTGGGGACCTCGCATTAGATATACAATATGAATGGTATAGCATCTGACTGGACAGTAGTGATCTACTTGTATTTTGCTTTCAAAAAGTGGACCTTAGATGTCCATGAAATAAAATCTACGAATTCCGAATTGTTAATATACCTCCTGGTCAAAGGGCGCCATCTTGGTAGCATATCTCCACGGACTCTCCATAGTCTCGTCGAATTCGCCATATTTCCAGAATCCACCATCGTCAGGGGTAACTTTTAGAACTTCTTCATCGTCCACAGTGAATCTTCGAAATAAAATAAAAACAATTATACAACACTCAGGCCAACAAACAATGTTGAAATAAAACGGCTTCCACGTGCTGTCCTACTGTTCTACCCCCACTGAGCAACAGAAGTCGGTAAAATAAAAACACTTACACAAACCACATATTAAAAGTAATTAAATGTAATGATATGTTTCCTTCTTGAAAATAACCGGGTCGATTTAAACTAGGGTATTTTGGCACAGGTTGTTGTTGATGTTCTTAGATTTTAACGCCCGCTTCCACCGAGGTTGTTTCGATTCCCCGGTTGTATGTGACAAGGAGTAGGGTCGCCTGTTCAACCTCATGGGTGTTCTCCGGGCCCTCGGGTTTCCTCCCACTGCTAAAGACCCCTACGCGCAAGTAAATTAAACGATATATTAGTTCCGAAATCATCTAGTTTGTTTCGAGTGAACGTTAAACCCCATCTCTCTTAAACACAATCCCCCTGTTTAAAAAAATGACTTACCTCAAGTAATCTTCAGTCCATTCTACGGCATATCTGTGAAATGCGTCAGCAAACGTCGTTCCATTACTCAACCGCCTTTAAAAAAACAAATCAATATTAACAATCTATGGAGACAATATTTAATTGTTTAATACACAGAGGTATTTCTTGTCGCGTAGTAAAATTAGAGCAGTACAATAAGTAATGTTTGCTGTTCTCCATAACATGATCACATGTGCATTGTGGCTTGTTAGAAATATTCATTAAAAATTTGTGGTAGTGTAGATTATGTTTTTGGCACCTTATAGTCTGGTGTGGTGTATTTGTATATTTCTGGTCCCTTGATAATAGTGGTTTAGGATGATTTGATCATTTCTGCGTAACTGACATATGTATTGCTGCAAAGTTTGGCTTTGGGTGAAAAGACGGTTTATATGTTGTCGTTGATGCAGTATGTTTCGGTATTTTAATTGGTTTCGTGTAGCGTGAAGATTTATTGCTGCGATTGTAGGTGGAAGGAGTAATGGGCGATAATTTGGAGATTTTTTGTGCATCAATTTGTAGAATTAGATTAGTTTGTGCTGTGTCGTCTTTCTTTCAATGGGATAAACTCAGATTCTGTTATACTTCTTGAGACATCAAGTTGAAGTTTTTCCAGCTCAATTGTCCCTTGGCCTGTGCAACTGTCTCATAAGACATCTGCGTAGCCAAACAAGAGCCGGATAAAAGATTTGTATATTACTTCGAGTGACTTTCTAGAGAGTCTATACTTGAAGATTCGAATTTAGAGATTCTGGATGCATTTAATGTGCATGGTTTGTCCAATTGCACGATTTTTGAAGATATACACCTAAATGTTTATGAGAAGATACTTCAGTAAGATCAGTAATGTTGAAAGATAATCAAGAGGTTGAAGGGTTTTGTTTTCTGGAGAAAGTGATACTACTGGTTTTATCAGGGTTGAAGGCAACTTTCCACTAAGAAGCCCATTTGTTGATAGTGTAAAGATCTGCGTTTAAAATTCTTTGAGATGGAACGGGGCCTTCAATGACAAGAAAGAAAGACGTATCGTCTGCGAAAAGTCGTATATTTAATGTTATATCGTTAACAAGATCATTTGTGTAGACGACGAAAAGTAAAGAGCAAGAAGACCTCGATGCCAGACCTTATCAAAGCCTTCTTTACCTTCATCAAGGGCTTTATACATATGGTCATGGGCAGATTTAGTTCTTACATAATGTATGTTTTAATCTTACTTGGCGGATGTTGCCTTCAGGTAACCGTTTATCTTCCAGTTTGGTCCATAATGTAGTGTAGTTCCCACGTGATCAACCCCCATTGATAGACCGTCAGCATCGGTATAGTTCAAATTACCTGGAAATATTATCACCGCCATTATTATTATTATTATTTTCTATAAGATTAGATATTTATCACCGTCGTTATTATTATCATTATTTATAAGATTAGATATTTAAAAACGAAACACTAGGTTGAAATGTGTGGTGGTTTAGTCATCTTCTAACATTTCGGTTTAAAAGATTCTTTATCACTCATTTATAGAATTAAGTCAGATTAAGCCGTGCTTCAATTCTTGGGCACTGTTTGTGTTTTATTCTCAATCATAGGATTTAGCCACCCTTCTTGGACCCTGTTCGTGTCTAATTCTTAATAATAGGATTTTAGCCGCGCTTATTGGATGCTGTTTGGGTTTAATTCATAATCATACGACACTATCTGGGTCTATTAGCCGCGCTTCTTGGACACTGCCTCGTCCTAATTCATTCTTAATCATACGATTTTAAAGCAGGCAATTTAGCCTGATATCCCCAACCGCTGCCTGTTTAATTCCCCCCCACACCCTCTCCCCGCACACACTTCTTAAATACAAAAGAACCTGCGAGTGTAAATTTCTATTTAAAAGAAATAATATAAATTATTCCACCCTGCTCAATGCACCACAACCGTCACAATTTCAAGAGGAATCCTTACCACGACTTTCCATAATGTCAATTTCACCGGAAGCTGGCCAACCGCCATAAGCAGCATAGGTCGGCATCATCCAAATAGCTAAAACAAAAATAAAATAACAACCATTCCATATAAATATTCTTATCGATCTTCTCTTCTTCTAATTACAACTGGCACGGATTTGTTTTGTGCATTCAGTCTTCATTAGCCAATTAGGTGCAATAAAGTAGAGCGTTAAGTTTCAGTTTCATTTCATTTCCATGCATTTAATCCCTCGATTGTCTAGGCACACGTCTATTGTTCGTACATCTGTCGAGTGAGAATCGGGACATTCGAACCAGAAAAATCCTAGACTATTTAGGAATTTGTCCATTTAACATTAACGTAGCCAGTCATCAGACGTTGAGTGTTTATTTTATTTGTTCATGTAACATCAACGTTGCCAGTCATTAGACGTAGGATGCTGATTTTATACGATATATTTATTCTAGAAAGAGAACTCCAGTTTCTTCAATGTCTAATTCTCGGTCATCCAGCTTAAAAGATAATTAATTGACTCACCTGGCCATAACCAATCACCCACGGGTAATTTAGCCTCGATTTCAACTTTACCGTATTTGATATTTAAACCACGTGAGCTTCTAAGTCTAGCTGACTGGATGGGATTAACCAAGTTTGATGGTGATCCAGTTCGTGCACAACCATAAAAGGCGTTGCCCGTACATTTGTTATGAGGTGTATGACCTAATAAATATATGATTCAATTTTAGAAATTAACGATGAACCAATTAGTTGTGGTGGGTTGCTAGGCAACAAAACATATGGTAACCAACAGCAATATTCCTATATCAAAGCCTCATTGCTTGCACGCCCTGTACACTGATGTGAAATCCAAGGCTTAGCTATATAGGGTCAGGACTTTGGTCCCGATCGTCCAGTCTCAAAATGTCTCGGAGAACAGGTACTGGAATACGGGATTCATTTAGCCCCAAGCCATCATCGATTTCCCCGCAATAGCTGTGATCGGCTCTAATATTTCCTCAGAGTTGTGTTAGATACAACGGTTTCTGCCACAGATGGAGCTGCATATGACAACGTTCTTGCTCGAAGCATGTATGGGGTCATACTCTTCGCAGTGTTTCGTTTGATTAGAGCTAATCCCACTACTCACTGCTGTAAACAAAGCAAATTCTTGTTCTAAATTATGACTCGTCAATAGTTCGATAAACAACCAATAGCTTACTGCGTAACAATACCAAACAGAGCTCCAAAATGGACCAAATATGTTTACATAACGTTACGTCATGACTCACGATTTTATTATGCCCAATTAACTAGTGCATAGCAGAATATTGCAGAAAAAACTAATTATGTGACAACCAAGGCTATCAACTGTCAACACGATTTTTACTCTGTGAATATATAGTAAACAATATTGTTTTGAGACGAACAACACTTTCACCGTTTTTAATACCTTAAATCACTGTCCAATGTTTTAGGGAAGACCCCTGATTAAACGAAGGGCTGTCATGTTGCTGTGCTTTTGGATAGATTTGATTGAACGTGAAGAATAGACACACTCCCTCAAAAGAGCAAGTATCAGAAGCTAATCCAGCAATGGACAGAGAGGGATTTCTCGGGCCATTGCTTCAGGAATATGGTATTGGGTTAATCCATGAAGTCTTGAAACACACAAACTAAGTACATCTTGCACCACCAACTTCATAGCCCGGTCAGAAAAGCAGGACGTCAAAACCCAATCTTATACCAACCGAATAATTGGATCTTATTGAAAGGTGTTTTTTTTTACGGAGAGAAATCTTACCCCACACGTCAAGTGTTCCAGATTCGAGGAAACCATCACCATAATTATCAACTGTTAGAGTCTGAAATATGAACAATGTATTGTCGTTATAAACGAAATGAAGTTTAACGTTCTACTGTTCTGCTCCAACTGGGCTAATGAACATCGGTCTGCGCCATGCAGTGTGCTATGCGGAAAATTTTCCCGGGCGGCAGTGCTATGGCCTACTCGTTTTTCGTTTTCCGCCTGGCAGTACGCTCGACCGTCCTCCAATTCGTATACATGGACGTAATGACTTTTAAGTTGCAAGATATAAAACCAATACGTTTGACACTTAGATGAATGTTAGTTTTGTCGACCCATATGTAAATGAAATGCGGTTTAACTATTTATACAAGAAACGTGCCCAGAAACGGCGTAGTCTGTTTTGTTGAAATTATGAAGGAAGCTGGTAGAGCTCATGGGGTTTTAATAAATTGTATGATAATTGGTTGACTCACCGGTTTAATATAGAGAACACCGTCTCTAGTATAACTGTTTGATCTGTTATTGGTGTAATGTTGAAATTCCCAATTCTAAAATGGAATAAAATTTTAATAAGAAAGTCAGGGTGACAGAAAATGATGGATGAAATCCCGAAAGAATTTTCGAATAGAGACACGTCAATTTATAGGCACACCAACAAAATTTTTAAATCGCTTCAGCCTTTTATCTATAGAACTGCTATTTCAATTATTCGCATGACCAAAAACGGCGAAATTGTCCATGACAGGAATTCCCAACACTACAATTACCAACAGATGAATTTTCCGATAGAAATGCCCCTCCCCCTCCCTTTCTCTTCCCCCGACCTAATTCCTTCAACTGACATGTAGCCCCTTATGTATATAATGACAACCATACAAAGACATATCAAGGGAAGTTACTCTACTTACTCCGCCCCCACCAAGAGTTATTTCATGCTCCCATATACGGTGATTCAAAAAATCAAAGTTATCCTCAAACACCAAACATGGATAACTTGTACAGGGCGCAGCTTTAAAATCTGAAATATAATAAAATATTCCATTTCATTATTGTACATGTACAGATACTGCATTCCAACGTCTTTACAATTCTGAAAAACTTTTATCCTGAGGGCTGATTTTATACATAGACCAGTGGGGGATGTCTTGGCATGATTGGGACTGTCGTGCTTTCATTGGCGCTTTACATTCCAGTACATAACGAAAAACACGAATAATTAAATATGTTAATGTCAATACAAATCGGTAAAATATAAAATGCGAAAATTAAAAAGAAAAACGAATTGGAAAACGTCTGATTTTAATCAGATTGATACTGATCTGGTAAATGTACAAGGTCTTGAAACTGGATGTTTATGTTGCCTAAGTTATGCACGAGAAACAATACTTCAGGACAGGCTGTAGAGTGGTTGCCAGCGCAGATTATCCACCAAAGCGCATGTCCGTCCTCTTTAGCCTGGTTGTTGAAGGAAACTCCATTTTAAAACTCTATTTCATCTCAATGTCTATTTTATTAAAATGTGCTTACCTTGACAATGTTTTCCTGTATAATGTTGGCTACAATCACATCGGTATGCCTCTGACGACAAGCGTACACATTCACCATTATTAACACATGGCGAGCTGTCACATTTATCTAATATAACATAAAATAAACACGTGGTCACATTTATCTAATATAACATAAAATAAACACGTGGTCACATTTATCTAATATAATATAAACACATGGTCACATTTATTTAATATAATATCAACACGTGGTCACATTTATCTTATATAATATCAACACGTGGTCACATTTATTTAATATATTAAAAACACGTGGTCACAGTTATCTAATATAGTATAAACACGTGGTCACATTTATGTAATATAATATCAACACGTGGTCACGTGTAATATAAAAAAAACACGTTTCCAAGTCTAACCGGATTATATTATAATCAACAATGAGCTACAGAATTGAGCGAGCATTAAAAATTACCGATACTTACTCGCTACTTTACGAATACGGTAAGATGCTAAAAATCCCTTCTGTGAGACGTAAAAATCCGAGTGAAATTTAAACATCGTTGAATTGACAACATTTTCCACTGAAACAGAAATATCAGGAATTATATGTGATTTTTTTATCTGTCAGATTGTCACAGGAACAAATCAAAATATTACAGAGATTACAATCTATGCGCAAACTGACTAGGTGTTGAACAGGTGTAATTAACAGGTCAGGTGTAATTAATTAATGATATCTTCAAATACAAAGCCAGAGCAGTTTTGCGTATCCCAATCTGTTGTGTAAGAGCTATTTGTTGGAGGTCCATTTGAACAATAACACTAGCAACAGGAACACAACAAAGAGTCAGAATGTGCAGCTAATCAGGCAATTATGATTTATGGCGCTGTCTTTGGAAAACAGTGAGGAAAACATTTAGAGGTCCGCGCGCAAAGGGGTCAGGTGGTAAAAGAGGTGTCGTGAATAAAAAAAAGATAGCCATATAAAATCCAGTATGAAATTGTAGTTGTTCGGAAACGCATTTCAGGGGCTGATATCAGATTCATATTAATAATGAATGGCGATTGTATCTTGCTATGGGTTTTGGCTCGAATGGCGATTATAAAATTGACCCATGTTAGGGTTGATCAAAGATTTATATGAAAGGTCGTTTCTTAACGCCCCTTATATCTCACTGAACAGAGCAACAGATCTAGAAAGATCCTTTAAGATTTGTAAAATGTCCGCGAGTGGACAAAAGCCAAGAAACCAAGGATCAGATCTACCAATATGAATTGCAGGCCATTTGACTTTGGCCCACGGATATCTGGAGGCCCACTGAAACTAATTTGTCGCGCAGGTTATAACCTTGTTTCAAGTGTACACCAGGTAGACTGAGGGGTCTGGATCAAGACTGGTAGTTGTGGCCTAGAATTGACGAGTTTGGTATAGGATTGGTGAGTTTGGCCTAGGGCTGATGAGTCTGGCCTACGACTGGTGAGCCTGGCCTAGGACTGGTGAGTCTGGTCTAGGACTGGTGAGTCTGGCCTAGGACTGATGAGTGTAGCCTAGGACTGATGAGTGTGGACTAGGACTGATGTTTGTGGTCGAGGACTGATGGGTAGGTAAATCAAGCTCTGGGGATACCACTGTTTTATGATATATAAAAACACTTACCAAAATATACTTGTGATTTCATGCCACACAGTTTCCTGGTGAAGTCTTTATCAAAAGCGAAATAATCCCAGTTACAATTCGGTTCATATTCTATTTCTAGACTGGAGACGTTTAATACGACGTCATAAGCTGCATCCGCGGGTAGGTGTAGTGTCCATGTGATCTCTAGGTTAATGGGATAATGGATGCCTTCATGAAAACCAGGACTATAGATCTCCCCAGTAGCTGATGTTAAATCTTCATGGCGCACCTGCATCGCTGAATTACACAAAACAATATGGATGAATTAAAATAGTTACAGAATTATGGACAGTATGGACAGATTAGAAAAAAAATTCAAGTGTTTATTTCTTATCAAAGATTACAATGTATTTTACGTTATTACAGTAGACAATGTGACAATTTTGCACATTAAATGCACAAAGTTTTCCACCATAAAAATAGCCTTCAAGAAAGTTACATTGAAGTGTATAGCAGATAGTTAAATGTTAATTAGTATGCTAATTCCAGTTTCTCTATCTCATTATTTATATGGAACACCTCATAACCTTTTGGAGCAAGATGTTGCCAAATATTGCTCCGTCACACCCAACAAGAGACAAGAATTAACAGAGTCAATGGGTAAATAAATACTGTCTGTATTCAGACTGCTGCTGGCTGAATGTTTACTGAAATCGATCTTGTTATATGGTTATTATGGTTACCAATGGAAACAAATCATGTTATAGGGTACCATGGTTACCAATGGAACCAATCATGTTATAGGGTACCATGGTTACCAATGGACACCAATCATGTTATAGGGTACCATGGTTACCAATGGCCACTAATCATGTTATACGGTACTGTGGTTACCAATGGAAACCAATTATGTTATATCTTACTATGGTTACCAATGACCGATAATAATAAACTTACCAGCCCTCTTCTGTCTGTCATTCTGAAATAAACAATAACCACCCATTAGGTTTATCATTCATAGTAATTGCCACGTGTAGTTTTGTGATGTTTATATTTCGTTTTGCTGTGTTTCTGTAGTTCAGACGATACAATAGATTATTGTGTTAATCTTATCGGGTATGTCGATTAATGATTGTTCAAGATCGATACAATTATATATTGATTGCTGTCAATCGGAATTCGATCGGTTGACCTATGATGTAAACATTCGGGACACAGACACAACCATTTGCCAAGGTCAGGGAAAAATTTCTCTCATAGCACACTGTATGGCAGGGCAGAACAGTAGGACATTAAACGCATTTACATTTTATTTCTCCGTTATCGGGGGGGGGGGGCGCTCGATTGTGGACGGGGTTCAGCGGCGTGCTGTCCAACCTATATTTAATGTTAATAGGGGGTTGGATGGCCGAATGGTTAGCGCGTGCGCGTTGTACCATAAGGTGTGTCATTGAGTCAACTGGTGTGGTTTTGATTAGTACGTGACACAAGGAGTAGGGTCGCCTATACAACCTCGTGGGTTTTCTCCGGGTCCCCCGGTTTCCTCCCACTGCTAATGACCCCTACGCGCAAGACAATTATTGAAATAAAATTGAACCATGTGTTAGTCCCGAAATGAACTAGTGTGTGTCACAAACTCTACTGAATGTTGTAACATGGACGGGAAATCTTCCTTTGTTCTTTTCGTTGAATAAGCTGAGTGTTGTCCCTCTCCACCGTGCAATAACTAGACATTTTCAGTGTTATTAGTTGTTCTTGGTGTTTAACGTCTGCTTCCACCGAAGGTGATATCGCAGACAAGTCTTATTTTCCATTTGTATTACCTTAGGGCACGCGCAAGGGACTTTCCTGTGGGATGAAACCGGAGTACCCGGAGTAAACCCACGAGGTTGAGAAGACGCCTCCATCCCCAAGTCACATATGTTCACACCAGGGATCGAACCATAACCGTAAGCCAGAGGTGACCGACCAGCTAGAGGTAGAAGCGTGACACTCTAGACCACTATACCCCCGCCCCCACAATGTTATTATTAGTATATCCCCTGGTACTGTATCACACCCATATCCCTTGGTACTAGATTACACCCCACGGGCCCGTCTTCATTAACACAGGTTAGGAGCAGAACAGTAGGACGTTAAACCCCATTTCATTTCACACCCCACGCGCAAGTCATTTATTGAATTGACCTACTGAATGTTGTAGTGTATGAAACGATATGGAATTAACAACATTCAATTACCTTAAAGGAGCTAGATCACCAACATTTGACACCTAGAAATTGTCGCAAATTGATCGCAACACATATAATGTAATATGAATATATAAAAACTGATTTACAATTAATCGTTTCCATTTTTACTCTAATTTCAAATTAGTTATGTTCGGCGAAATACGCCAGAAATCTCAATCGAAGGGCAATCGCTAGCGTCTGGTTATTACAGTTTTCACCGATAGTATAAGAATATGGTGTTATCGTTTGACATGACTTGTGGAATATGTATAGCTTCGTTCTTCGACTCCCTTGTTACAAATGCGCAGAAAAGCATTATGGTACACGATTCGTGTACCAATGGTAAAATGTTTATTTTGTCTTCAATATTGGATATCAGAAGCCCATTTCGAAGACTTTGGATGATACTGAGTTAGAGACTACTTTAATGCAATTTCTTGGTTAAAAATTCAACGTCCTTCACAATAAGCATATAAATCATTGCTATCAACACTTGATAAATAGTTACAAAAGCTTTGTATTATAGTTTGACTTTACCACCTAGAAACAGATCAACGGAGTGTTTATCAATAGTTTGTATTTTGAATGCCTCTTTTTATTAAATGTAAAATAGACAAAGTATATTTCATGAACACAATAAAACAACCCGTAGAACGTATAAAGGCTGTCTAACAAATGATTTTCTAGGAAAAGAGCAAACGAAATACGTAATACAAACAAGAGCTAATAAATAGGACTGAAGAAATTCATAACCAAATATGGATATATGCTCAGTCTTTTTAGCTCAGGGTGATATATATTACAGCTTATTTACTACCAAATATGGCTATGTATTAGGTATTATACGTCTTAAACATTCTTACAATTAGTCGACAATAAACTAATAAAGGACAGCTTTTTAAATATCATATATGATCTCTTATCGTTGTTTGGTAGGGGCGGGACTCGTTTTGAAATAATAACGTCTAAAACATTATTAATGTTATAATTGTCAATTGATTTTAATTAAGATTATTTATATAAAATTGATGCATAAAAAAAAAGGTCAAACATAAACAAATTCTTAAATGTAACAATGTCATGTTAAAACACGGTTTTAAAATTCTTTGTCGTGAGAAGAGCGGGTGGAACATTTTCTCCCTTTGTCGTTAAAGATGGGTTCCCAGAAAAGTATTTATCGGGTGGTTATTTCCAATAAAAGTATGGTAATTTTGGTATATATGGAAAGTAGAGATATCCAATCTTACTAGAAAAATACTGGATTCCCCGAAAAACACTCATGGAGCGTATACAAGTTGATAAACTTTATGAAGAGTTAGACGTACAACACTTTCTGAGATAAAAATGACGGAAAAATACGCGGGTAGTGGATAATCCGAGAATTTAATTAGGATTCGATATTTGTAACAAATAGTAAGCGATTAAAGACAACATCGTCTTATGTATGCAATGAATTCTCCTCTGACTTCCAAGAGAGGTAAGTCACGTGACGTAAACATGACCTGGTTTGATCGAATTTTTATAGCAGGACATTCCTTCGCAATTACAATGTTTGAGAAGGATTTGAAGCAAAGTTATGACAAATTAATTAGTTTGAATATATATTTTTAGTCCATATATACCATTAAATCACAAAGTTGGTACGCGGGAACCCATCTTTAAAATGCTAAACAAAAAACAGCAGACGAAAAAGAATCCAGTTGCTTCCAATGGAAATAAACTCACAAATCTGGACCTGTTGATTATTTACAAATTAAAATCTGTCCATGCGTTTCATATAAAATATTCCTCAACTTTTACATTTGAATACTTACAAAGCTTGTAAGTTTGTCTGATTCTGTATGTCTCTCCCTACTTTAAACTAGAGTTAGCAGCATTTATAATCCACGAGCTAGCAAGGGTTTAATTACCATCTCGGGTACAAAAGTTTTAATTACCATCTCAATTTCAACAGAACCAGACAAAGAATGAAAATAGAACCCTGGTCTGTAGAACGTTGATAGGGTTTTGGGGGATATTGCCTGGACAGCTATGAAATTCAATAGGTTTCCAATGGGATCAGCTTAACAACCATGGTCAGTTAGTGTGAATACTTAACTCCCCAAAAGTTCAAATTGTTCAGTGTTTACAAGAGTTGTGGAAGAGCGGAGGGATCTACGGAACGATCAGGCCCGTACCTAGCGGGAGGGGGGGGGGCAAGCGGGGAAACCGCCCCCCTTGGAGCAAATCGGCCACCCAATGGGTGTCTTTACCAAATGGGGAAAGAATCGGTTATCCCAGTGGGCGCCTTTGGCACCCTTTCCATTGCACGCAATACGAAACCAACGACCATCTTGCCCCCACCCCACCCCCGCTAGGTACGGGCCTGACGATAGGAGTGGATACCAAATAGTTCCATATTAAAATTAGGCCCCCCCCCCAAAAAAAAAAAAACAAGTTTAAAGATAATTTGATCTAACGCCCTTCTTTGTGATTCATTATTGATATGAGTCATCGTAAAAAAACCTATGGCTTGACAATGGGAATTGATCCTGTTCTATTAATGGCCAAAGACCATTTAAATAGATATGAATTCTGCTTTCAAGGACATAAAAGAAAAACTGATATCTTTATACAGCTATAAAAAGACGACTTTCATTTATAATAATTTATGCATAAATGCATGTAACTACACCCAACACGTGACGAGTCTTTATACATTCTAAACTAAAACTCATAACATGTGATTACCGTATGGTTCTTTCACATACCAACACAATAAGAAAATAACAGATTTATGGAAAGCTAGGTCAACCTTTCATTTTCAAACGACTTCAAAATATTTAAATGAGTAATATATTTCCAGAGAATTCCCAACTAGTTAATCACCTATCCGGTTGTTTCGTGCACGATGCAGGGTATACGTGATCTTACAAGAATACAAGATATCACCTCTCATTTAATGAGTTGGCAGGGTTAATACAATTCGATGAGTTGGGCAGGGTTAATACAATTCGATGAGTTGGGCAGGGTTAATACAATTCGATGAGTTGGGCAGGGTTAATACAATTCGATGAGTTGGGCAGGGTTAATACAATTTTAAATCTGCTTTTTTTTTCAATTATGTCATTTCTTTTATCTCATTAACAATGGATTAAGACTTGCTCTTGTTGTTGTTGTCTCACGCAATAAAATATTTCATCTGGTGCTAGAAAAAAATCTTGCAGATAATTCAAGCAATTTCATATAATAAAAAATACAACGTCGCTGTAATTGGATGAAAATGAAATGGGTTTAACGTCCTACTGTTCTGTTAATAGATTGTTGTCGCCATTATTGACATTTTTCCAGTGAAGAACAAGTTTTGAGTAATATTTATCGAACAATTCAGTCAAAATTCTTTTACAACCATTGTTTTATTGTCGTTGTTGTCCAGTTGAAAATATTAATCACGTTCCCGTTACATTGGATTTATACGCCTTTTAAAGCTTTAATATCTTTGTTGCTATGGATATTTGTTTTATTCCGTCTCCGTTTTTAGTTATATCTGGATGCCAAGGTTTAAACGATTCACAACCACATGATCACCACGATTCTCCGCGGCCATAACATGTTGTAGCTTTAACCACCACGGCTTTCCGTGACTATGACATACTGTATCTTTAACCATCGCTGTTTTCCGCAGCCATCACAGGTTGTATCTTTAACCGCCACAGTGTTATACTTGGCAAGTTGCCAGTGACCTGTGTTTAATATAAAATATTCTGAAAGGAATAATTTTATTTCTGACGCGTAGATTTATTTCTGATAATAATATATCTATTGATGATTACACAATAAAACGTCTCCATGTATTTATTAATGTTACGATTCTTTATTCAGTTGAAAAATCAATCTATTTAATGTCCACGTGCAAATCTCACGTATACCAAAAATTACAGAAAGGTTTTCCCGCGGAATATATTTTCAATTCAACCATATCCTACCTCTAATGCGTTACCCCCCCCCCCCCATCATCTAGCATGGCGATGCAGACCGCATAACAACACCTCAGTATTTTGACGGCAAGATATAACATTAGCATCGACTTATTTTTTAAATGATCAAGTCTAATGTCGCATTCAAACTGTCAATTGCGTGTTTTGAATTAATTTTAGCATCTACTTGACTTGTTTTTAAATAATTTTTTAATAGATTGTTTCGATTGCCTTTCAAAAGCCTTTCGATAATTATGCAAATCTCATTTGTAACTTTGATGAATAGAACCCTTACCTGTAGAATGTGTGAGAGTGGACCTGTAGAATGTGGAGAGTGGGCCTGTAGACGGCAAGAGAGTGGGCCTGTGGGAGAGTGGACCTGTCGTGTGTAGGAGAGTGGACCTGTACGATGTAGAAGAGTGGACCTTTAAATGTTAGGTATCAAATAAACATTTATGTGTTGAGGTTCACTACATAGCATGTTTCAATTTCTATACGTTAGTCACATGATATAATTGGTGGAGATATTTATAGTAGCATTAGTCACCATCTACCAATCATACAGGGCAGAGTTTAAATCACGCCTTATCTTATATTATTAAAATGAATGTTTGAAATGTTACTAGGGGTGACAGTAAACACACACATATATATCTAGAGGTAGACCAAACGGCGAGCGTCAGAAACAATCCAGACAGCAGACGTTAAACAACTGTTCATCTAGAGTTGAGGATTTCTTCAAATACAAATACAGTCAGGTGAATATGATAAAATTTTATATATGTATTTTATCTTTATACAGTAGGAAATATTTTATAATAACTCTATTGGAACATGAGTTTCAAACTTCAATCTTGGTATGACACCCAACCAGTCCTTTTTAAAGACAAATATTCACTATAATATTGGGCTATACATGAGAAAGTCAAAAATCGAAGAAAGATACGAGCACGTGTCAATCGTAACAATTCAGAATACAGTTACATTTATCACTTGATAATTAGTTATATAAATTAAAGTAGCCAAGTCTCTAACTCAATATAATCAACAGTCTTCCACATTGCAAACACGGCTTATTGGTCAGTTTAAATCAACATTGATGTTGTTATTAATTGTGCATTTAGGTATTTTATATAACCAAGCACATGTATAATACACTTAAATATTTTCGATTAACTTCAACGTTCAAGGAAACCTTTGAATACGGACCCAGGTCTCCACCTCCCTAATACCAGAACATACAAGTCACTGAACGAAATGAAATCTAATTTTAATTACATTTTCTTGTTTTTAAGATAAAAGACCAGGTGAAGTAAGATACCTATCTAGGTCCAGAATACAAATAATAAAATTCTGTTATCAAGATGGCAATGTATCAAAGTAAGTAGAATGATGGTAATAATCTACCTACTTTACTCTTAATTTTCATTATGACGTCACACATTATTTTTTCTCAGCGGGCCAAAGGTCATAACCCTTGCTCTTTACCTGTTCGAGTGTCTCGTGAATCACTTGCTGGATTTAAACCAAATTTGGTATTTAATATGTTGAGTGAGTGATTATTTTTAATGAAGTTTGTCGGTTCAATTAAAGACCGCCAATAATAAGACCGGTCCCTTCTTTTGCATTATTTCATTCTTATACTCAGTCGAAGTTTTTTGGGGGGAGCAACGGTGGCTAAGTGGGTGAAGGTCGGGAGTTCGATCCTGCATTGGCCGAGAAAGTTCATCTGGATTTTCCGATGGGGTTTCCCCATGTCAGTGGTGCAGAACTGAGGGCATGACAAGGACAGTTCTCTTGTCCTGTGAGACGAAAACCCGAGGTCCCGTGTATACATTGGAATGCACGTAAAAGATCCCCTCGCAGTTGGAATTCGATATAAGAGTAGGCGATAGTGCCGCTGCCCGGGAAGAATTTCCCTCATACCACACTGTATGGCGTATGCCCGTCTTCATTAGCCCAGTATAGGAGCAGAACAGTAGGACGTTAAACCCCATTTCATTTCATTTCTTTTAATTTTTGTTTTTTTTGTAAAATGACTCACGCCATAACTTTATATTTAATTCGACAAGGACAGCTGTCTAGTCTTTCGGATGAGACGAAAAACCGAGGTCCCGTGTATACATTGGAATGCACGTAAAAGATCCCCTCGCAGTTGGAATTCGATATAAGAGTAGGCGATAGTGCCGCAGCCCGGGCAAAATTTCCCTCATAGCACACTGTATGGCGTATGCCCGTCTTCATTAGCCCAGGTTAGGAGCAGAACAGTAGGACGTTAAACCCCATTTCATTTCATTTCATTTCATATATTTAATTCACCCATAGCTACATAGTTTATTTGAGATTTCTTATCAAGACACATACGATCCTGACACACAATGTTTGGACAGTAATCCCGTTTTTGTGGTCTACATTTAGAGGTTGTCTCCCTTTCCATCAACACAATCATAGGCGCGCGAGCCAGAAGACCCCCACCCAACCCACAAAAAACAACTTTCGGGCAATCTAGCTTTTCGGGCAGATGGATAAGGTGAAAAAAGATGTCATTTCATCTACTTGGGAAAATAAAACAATTATTTTACGTTTCTTTTAATCAATTACCTCGAATTGAATTGAGTATGAATTACAACATTTTGTCTGGAGCCACTCTATTTTGTGCGACATTTTGCGCGCATCGATTATTATTTGTGAATGCAGCTGCAACAGGCTGATTAGATGGTTTCCGTTTCGGTCGGCATAGAGTGTGATTTTGGTTACAAAACCATTCGACAACTTTGGAGTTGCTTAACTCATTGGATAGAATAGCAGAAACATGTATTTACGGCGGTTAAATTTTCAACATTTTCTCCGGTTGTTTGGGATCCAGGTCAGCCACCTAAGGTAGACTATACTGGACCATACTGAAGTTGCTGTATTCACGGGTTGGAATAGCAGGAAAACATGTTTGCAGCAGTTAAATTTTCAAAATTTTCTTTCGACGGTTGCGTCTCCGTGCACGATTGGTAGGTTGATTGAAATTCACGGGCTAGAGTAGCAGGAAAACATGTTTGCGACCGATTTTCCAAAATTTCTTGAGGTTGTGGGGCGGGGGATCCTATACTCCAAGCTGCCCTCCTCCACTCTTGCAGAAGACCGAGGCCGTCGTTTGTAACCCGGATTTTTATTTTCGGCCATGCGCTTATATACATAATCGACATTTTATTTTAATACATCATTAAAATATGAAACGTTATTGATATTTTATTTTAATGAGATTTGAGAATATCAGGAATACAATACAACTGTGTAATAAATTTTTTCAGTAAAACAAAAAGGTCAGATGCCCAAAGACGATTATCAGAAGGTTCAAGCTAATTTCTGCTACCTGGTGGATCATATCAAAGAACCAGTAAAACTTGGTAATAAATTATTTGAAAAAAACGTATTCGACGCAGATGAAAGGGACGAAATAAATAAAATTTACAATACCGTTGAAAAAGGTCGCTGGGCAGCTGCTAACAAGCTAGTGACGTATGTCTTAAACTGTGGCGATGCCTATGGTAAATTCATCCAATGTTTACGAGAACTAGGTTACAAGAAAATCGTAAATGTATTAGAAAACACCACGAATGGTAAGTTTATTTCTATTTTAAACAAGAACACTACACCATATATATATAAACATTGACAACTTGTAAAAACATAAAAAATACAAACGTACCGGTTCTGTTCTTATTGCTTGAATATATCCGATCTTTTCGAGAAATGAATTTTTTTACTTCCATGATTAAAGATCGTTAATTTACTCGCCTACCCATTTTAGATGTTTAAACATCATGAAAATTACATCATAGAAAATATAAATGATAAAAACCTATTATGTTTTCTTATCTTTACTAAATTAGACCTACAACAGATGCCTTATATTAACATGACAATATACTGTATGTGATTATAGCAAAATATAAAAGATTGATACGATGATCGAACGATACTATAATTATCTTACTATAACTGGATTATCTCCCTTATTATTGTTGGCGCTTTTTACATTCTAACTTATGACGTCAGTTGGCAGACGACAACATTTGTGTAACGTCATTTAGCAGACGACGGCCGCCAAGACTGGTTGTTTATGTTCGATGGCTTCCATGTATTTTAATTCAATACTGTTTCTTGCTCAATATGCTGACATTGAGATTTCTTGTCAACCGATCATGACTGACACCAGTATGATACAACGTTCCTAAAATATTCCCCTTTTTTCTTGGATTGTTTCAATTATTCTTAGTTTGGTTTCATTTTGAGTGAAGCCTATATCACTATAGGCCAGGGAATGTAGGCCTAAAGCGTAATGGACGCTAATAGCTAGCACCCGGATCTATTTACGTATTTTGTTTTAATTGAAATGTCTATGTATATTGGAGCCACGGTGGCTCAGTGAGTAAGACATTGGCTCGTTAACCTGGATGTCCCATGTTTTATCCCTGCCTTGGGCGAGAAAGTTAATCGGTATTTTCCGGCGTGGTGCATGAGAGAGGGACGGGCCTGGGCTCTGGCTCCTGGCAAGTGGAATGTATAGTTGTTCGGATGGGACGATAAAACCGAGCCCCCGTGTGCACATTGACGTGCACGTAAAAGATCCCTTGACAGTTGTATTTCGATATAAGAGTAGGCTGTAGCGCCGCTGTCCTGGCAAATTGCCTTCCTATATCACACTGTTTGGCGCGTGTCGGCCTTCATAAGCCCTGTCGGAGCAGAACAGTAGGACGTTACACCCCATTTAATTCAACTATGTATATTGTCTCCTGTCCGTGGGTTTGTCTTGTGTAATTTTGTATTATATTATATTATACAGGTAATAGTATTGAATTGTAAGTAATTTTATCATACAGGTAAAAATAAAACCAATCTGATGTCAGAACAAGACAAGACAAGACATCACCTAGAAGACTTACATAAAGATCGCGACCTTACTAAACAGGAATTAGAGAACCTGAAGAAACAGATGGAAGCACTGAAAACAAGGCAAGATGGAGATTCCAAACAGATGTTGAAGAAAATAGAAAAACTAGAAACATACAAAAAACAAACTGAAGAGAAAGAAGCTCTGACAAAGAAGAGAATTGATGAGTTGGAGACATGTATTAAAACTCTTACCCTAAATGAGGAAGGTAGGTTGATATCTATTTCAAATATATTACGTCATACACACATCGGCACAAGTTATTATGTCATACACCTATCGTCATTGAAGTCAGAAGACGTATAATAAACTTTATAGTTATTCTAGTTAGATGAAAAATATTAAATATGACTTATATATTACAGATACCATTCAGCCACAATTATTACCTGGTACTTTGTCTGGTAATACAAGTGATACCTCAGATGTTACTTTGTCTGGTAATACAAGTGATACCTCAGATAAGAAAGGTAAGTTATTCTAATATATAATATAAGATCAAACACGGACTGGCTTACCTGAAACAATATTAAATATGACTTGATAAACTGTAAATATAGTATAACATGTTATATATTACAGATACACGTCAACAACAACAACAGCAATTATTTGATGCCTGTCTACATGGTACTTTGGATGATATAAAAAACATGGTGAACATAGATGTTAAAGTCAGAGACAGTATGTGGGACGAGACACCGTTATTTAAATGTTGTAGATCAAGTGTAAGTCCTGTAGATAAAATAAAATATCTAGTCAGTCATCAGGCTGATATTAACGCTAGAGACAGTGATAATAATACCATCTTACACGTGGCATGTCTCCATGGTACTTTATCTACAGTACAATATCTTGTTGATGATTTACACATGGATGTTAATACAACAGGTTATGACAACCAGACACCGTTATTTGACTGTTGTAGATCAAGTGTAAGTACTGTAGATAAAATAAAATATCTAGTCAGTCATCAGGCTGATATTAACGCTAGAGACAGTGATAATAATACCATCTTACACGTGGCATGTTTGTGTGGTACTTTATCTACAGTACAATATCTTGTTGATGATTTACACATGAATGTTAATACAACAGGTCGTTACAACAGTACACCGTTATTTTACTGTTGTCAATCAAGTGTAAGTCCTGTAGATAAAATACAATATCTAGTCAGTCATGAGGCTGATATTAACGCTAGAGACAGTGGTAATAATACCATCTTACACAGGGCATGTTGGTTTGGTACTTTATCTACAGTACAATATCTTGTTGATGATTTACACATGAATGTTAATACAACAGGTCGTTACAACAGTACACCGTTATTTTACTGTTGTATGTCAAGTGTAAGTCCTGTAGATAAAATACAATATCTAGCCAGTCATCAGGCTGATATTAACGTTAGAGACAGTTATAATACTACCATCTTACACCTGGCATGTCTAGACGGTACTTTATCTACAGTACAATATCTAGTTGATTGTTTACATCTAGATCTACATGTCAAGAATAAATATAGTCAAACAGTTCTAGATTATTGTAGGTGGTCAGACACTGAACAAGGTGAAAAGATAAAATATATCACAGATCAAATGAAATTAAAATAAACAAGTTATAATAATTCGTGTAAACTAGTCAACATAATGTTATTGTCTCTAGTCATACAATTTACAGTTTTATTGTCTCTTGTCAACAGTTAAAACTACTGATGACGTATTATACTGTCTCTAGTCAACAGATACAACTACTGATGACGTATTACACTGTCTCTTGTCAACAGTTAAAACTACTGATGACGTATTATACTCTTGTCAACAGTTAAAACTACTGATGACGTATTACACTGTCTCTAGTCAACTACTGATGACGTATTACACTGTCTCTAGTCAACAGTTAAAACTACTGATGACGTATTTGTACTTTATCTACAGGACTAATACTGTGTATATATTTATTGTTTATTTTATTGTTTAATTTATTTAAAATGTCTTCAATATTTTATTTGTATATATTTATTTTCAATGAATAATACTGTTGACAAAATCTCGTGTTTATTTTTATACGTCCAATTCGGTCTGTGCGCGTGTGTCATGGTTTCGCCTACAGGCCGCAATTCTTACCGGATCGTTTCGGAACGTTGCATACTTATTCCTTATACCCTAAGGATGACACCGTGTTGTATTTGGTGCATACCCAGGGGCTGAGACACGCCCATATTTCTTTGCGTGTTGCCCACAGACTACTATTCTGAATGGATAGTCTTGGAACTTGTGAAATGAAAAGAAATGGGGTTTAACGTCCTACTGTTCTGCTGCGAACTGGGCTAATGAAGAGGGGCATACGCCATACAGTGTGCTATGAGGGAAATTTGCCCGGACAGCGGCAATGCGGCCTACTCTTATATCGAATTCCAACTGTCAAGGGATCTTTTACGTGCACACAAATGCGTACACGGGACCTCAGTTTTTCGTCCGATCCAAACGACTAGACAGCTATCCTTGTCAGGCCCTCCGTCCTGCATCACTGACAAGGGGGAGTCACGCTAGAAAATATGGATGAACTTTCTCGGCCATTGCAGGGATCTAACACCCGACCTCCGGGCTAGCGAGCCAGTGTCTTACCACCTTAGCCACCGTGACCCCAACCTCCAGGCTAGCGAGCCAGACTCTTACCCACCTAGCCAACGTGACCCCCCCCCCCCCCCTTGGAACTTGTAGGCCTGTGGCAAAAAATTATAGCTTGGTTAGAAAAAACAATTCCGTTGAACAAGCTTTTTTGGAAGTTTAAAACTCCTGGAACACAAATCCATAGAGTTCCAAGCAAAATGTTTGTAATAACTCGATTTAGGGTCTGGTGAAAATCGTCACAATTGTCAAGTATTAATTATATAGTTATACTAATAATTCTAAAGTTGGCATAAAATTAAATATTGGCGAAAACCACCGATGTTTGCATAGAATAGTCAAGGTAGCTGAGATGTAAATAAGGTTAGGGGACGTGATTGTTGGCGAGATTGTGGGTTAGGGTTAGGTCCAGGGTTAGGGTTAGGTCCAGGGTTAGGGTTGTAATTAGTGCTAGTCCTGTTTACATCTCGTGACCTTGAAGGTAGCCTTATGAAATAGATCTAACCCTGCCAATCCCAGGGCGGCCAAATCAGAGTTATCTCCCATAATACTTCAGCGGGATTTTCCAGCATATTTTCACCATGTCCTTGGCAGAGGAGAGAGAGAGAAATGGAGTTTAAAGTCCACTCGACACAAACTAGGTCATTTCGGGACTAACATATGGTTTAATTAATTTTTGGTAATAATTTTCTTGGGCGTAGTGGACTTTAGCAGTGGGAGGACCCGGGGAAAACCCACGAGGTTGGACAGGCGACCCTACTCCTTGTCACGTACAACCGGGTATTCGAAACCACGCCAGTTAACTCAATGACAGGCCTTATGATACAGTGGCGGAGGACCGGGGTCCTAGCAAGAAACAATCTCTAGTCGTGTGGATGAGACGGACACTCCACGCTCCTTGTAGTAGTACACGTTAGCGTGTAAGTAAAAGGGGACCATGACAGGTGGAATTGGACGCAAAGATGTCTTCATTTTTCCAGTTGGTAAACAAAAGTAATACCCGCCAGTGGATTTTTTTTTTAAATTTGATATTTCATTATTTTTTTGCATTAAAAAAATAAAACATTTTTAATTTTCAATATAATTTTATTTTAAATCCAAATCATTTTTGTGATTTTGAAGTATTGGTATGAAATAGTAATGTAGGTCACCATACATCACCATCATCGCTTTCACTACATATACAAACACCACATGGAAATGAAATTAAATGAAATGGGGTTTAACGTCCTACTGTTTTGCTCCTAAACTGGGCTAATGAAGACGGGCATACGCCATACAGTGTGCTATGAGGGTAATTTTGCCCGGGCAGCGGCGCTACGGCCTACTCTTATATCGAATTCCAACTGTCAAGGGATTTTTTACATGCACGCCAATTTGTACACGGGACCTCGGTTTTTCGTCTCATCCGAAGGACTAGACAGCTGTCCTTGTCAGGCCCTCCGTCCTGCATCACTGACAAATGCAGGGATAGAACACCCGACCTCCAGGCTAGCGAGCCAGCGTCTTACCCACTTAGCCACGTGATCGCCCACATCACATGGACTACACTGGCAATTGTAATGTAGAGAAAAAAAAAATCAAATATAGTTTACTGTCTTACTGTTCAGTATAAACCGGGATAATGAAGATATACATACGCCATTCCATATGCTATAAAGGGAATTTGGCCAAAACAGCGACGCTATGGTCTATTCTTTTATGTGCACGCCAGTTTGATATACCATCCGAATAACTAGACGTTGCCCAGGGTAACATAACCATCAAACCTCGTGATTTGTGAATCAGCGTCTTACTCACCCAGCCCTACTTCCTGCATCACTGACAAGGGGAAACCATGCCGGACTAGGACCAAACCCTCTACCTCCCGGTAAGGGAGCCAGTTCAGCCCCTTACTGAGTCACCGCAACTCCCTTGCACTGATGCCATTTGCATGCAAAGCAGGAATAGTACCTGTACAATGCCCCCATCTTTTAACGCATGACATATGCCCATCTTCATTATACAGGCTAGTGTAGAACAGTAAGACATTAAACTCCATTTGATTTCTTTCCCCTTCATTACAATTGTCGCCCCCATTACAGTATTATTTAGTTTTGGTCATATATCTATTTTAGTGAGAAAACTAAATATTTATAGTTGCTATGTTTCACTTTAAATATTTGTTAGAAGTTTAGCCGCAAATCCTATTAGAAAAAAGTTTTATAGATATTATAAGTAAATATAGTTTTTAGGGAGAATTTATAAAGGTCCTTGTTTTTTTATTAAATCCTATTCAGTTTATCGAATAAATTGTTTAAACTAAATACTGTTATCAATAATTATTGATATAGTCCACCAAGGGAGATAACTCCTTGTACCGTAAATTTCCAAAATTCCGTATGTTCCCTTTTCTGTTATGTTTTCTACATTTTGGTTTAAATAAAAATTAAACATGCATTATGTAAGAGCTAAATCTGTCTATTGCAGGTCTTTCTCTGGGCCTGGATTGTTATCTCAATTATTAATTAGACATTAATTAACTTATCCAGATCATAATCGTTAGCCTGTGATATCTAGTGGATTTGAATGTTTTGTGATGGATGGTTTAACCAAGAAATTGTTTATTATCGTACCATGGTTAGTAATGACGATCAAGGCTAATCTAAAATTGCATCGCTAATATCTCGGTTCAGGGTGAAGCAATATAACTAAACTTTTCAGTATATTCTGAGCTGGATTCATTATCTATTTTTTAACTATTATAGCGAGGACTGTCAACTCTTTATCTAATCTTACCTAATGCCCCTTTAGCGAATGTCGTAGATGAAGGTATGGCGTGTTTTGCAAATATTTAATTTATGTCAACTTCACAATTGTTAGCATAAATATAGCATTTACTAAATAATTATAAAGATTTCACCACGCCCTAAACCGAGTTATTGTAAACATTTTGCTTGGAACTCTCAGGATTTGTGTTCCTGGTGTTATAAACTTTCCCAAAATGTATAGTTTGTTTAGCATCGAGGACCCTGTAGCGGAACTTTACGTTAGAAATGTTGACTACAGGCCTATTGGTATATTTATTCCTCATACCCTAGGGCCGGTCATTACTGATTTATTTTGGTGCATGGTCATTCCTCATGGACGATGCCACGTCGACTTTTAAACATTTTGTCTGTAAAATTATCTAATGGTCGCAATTATTAACAGATTTTTTCATGACCAAATTCAGCATGACCAATCATTTTAATAACAGCGGCGTACCTATTTATATTTGTCTATGTCCATGTCCAACCCCCAGGGGCAGAGCCAACCCCAATTTTTGTGTTTATCGTCTACAGGCCGCAATTCTAAATTTAAACTCCAAGTTTGCGATCCTAAGAGGTTTATTAGCTAGGATCTATGTTTTCAGGGACCATGGAGTGAGAGGATGTATGCTTTCAGGGCCCGTAGAGTGAGAAGGGGTGGGGGACACCTGGAGTGACCCGGAGGTATGCCGAGTATTGTTCTTTTTTTTAAAAAAAAAAACTGTTATCAACTGATATAAAACATACAAAGTTATTTTATTGTGAAGTAGAAGTAAACCCGAGACTTTTCTCAATGTGGGGTACCTAGTGGCGTGGGGTAGGATTAGGATCAGATTCTGTCAGTTCACATTTTTAAAAAAAAAATGGTGAATTAAAAACTGTAAGCCACCTGCCCGGGTCGTCGGTCCGTAATCGTTTCGTTTGGGGCTCTCGTCAGTGTCAGTGTATACAGGCCTCTGCGTGTGTTCGGCACCTTATAAGATCGCAGATCGGCCGTAGAGACTTTTGGTCCTTCACATACAAATTTCTCACCCGGTATGTTGCGGCTGGTCTGCGAGCTACCAATCCCAAAGCCCCGTGCGTGTCAAAACACGTACGTCGGGTGTTGAGCCATTTGCACTATTATGGGGGCCTGTTTGACCCTAAGAGTTTTCACGTTCGTATAAAAAATGATATTTTTATGTACCATGTACTGTACGAGTGGGGTTTCCCTCAAAGTTGATTTACGATAAGATTGTGTCTGTTCGTTTACTACTCAATATTCAGATTAGTTGAAAGTTGTTTGTTTAATCCGAACCTGATCTGCATATAAAATGTAAACCTGATATTCCAAGCTGGTTTTATAATCTAACCACGTGACCACATTACTGACCCTACAGGAAAATACCCTTAAAGCAGCTAGACCTTCTACTCAGTATTATCCATAATATTAGAAATTACAACAGAAATAAAAAAATGGATCCATTTCAATCAATCTGGTTAAAACACAGATCCTATTTCGTTTCGTTTTTTGTAGTTTAAAATTTCGTTTTTCTTGTCTTTACTACACTAGGATCTGGAAGAGTTGTTATATTACAGGCTGTCTGGTTGAAATGGGGATTATTTAATGAAACGGTCTGTTACGTGCGAT